CCCTAAACCCTAAGCCCTTAAAAGGGGACCGCCCTCGGAGCCCTCTGAGCTCCCTCCTGCATGCACTGCGCCAAGAAGGCAGCCACGTTTACCAGGCCATAGACCTCGCCAAATCTCAGAGGCTCCATAAGGGTTTGGGTTTAGGGTTTAGGTAGGGTTTAGAGTTTAGAGTTTAGGGTTTAGGGTTTAGGGTTTAGACACTACTATTATGGAATTAAGCCCTTTTAAAACCATAATAAGGATGGTCTTTTGGGGCCCAATTCCATACTGGTAGTCTATTTGGAGCCTCTGGGAATGGGGCTCAAAGCGTTCTGCTTCGGGATGACAAGGCTTAAAGGCTTACCGGGCTTAGGATTGATAGGGGTGGCTGTCAAAATGATGGTCCCTTTTGGGGTCCTTATTATAATACCGCACCTATTATTTAGGGTACCCCAGAAGGGACCCTAATTTTGACAACCACCCATAGGGCTTAGGTTTAGGGGTTAGGGTTTAGGGTTTAGGGTATAATAGGGCTTAGGGTTTAGCGGCCTTTGGGGCTTATAATGGTTTAGGATTACGGCGTCGCAGGGACTGGAGGTTTAGGGGCTGCGAGGGTTGCTACTTCAGCTGGGTCTTCGCGAAGAGTGTCCGCAGAATGCATATAGAACTTACGTAGAACCTTCAACTCCATTCCAGTAATTCAACCCCATTCCCTAAACCCTGCACCTCAGACCTTACAACCCTCTACAGTACACTGAAAGTACCCGAGAGGAACCCTTGAAGGAACTCTGTACCACTAAACCCTATAAACCCCCAGAAAGGACTAAGCCTCCAGCGTGGTTTGTGTCGCCCAGCCAGAGTTTCAGGCTACCGACACCGCTCGTGGCCATAAGGCGGACGGCCTTCAAAGGTCGGCATGGAGGGTTCGCTGAAGAATTCTAGAAGGGTGCGTGTAAGGGTAGTATTAATGTTCCCTTACGGGGACGATCACAAGTAGGCACAAACTGATTGTGTTCTAGTCCTTGGGCGTCGGATGTAAGAGGATGGGTACCTCTGCCGCAGCAAATGTGGGTATAGTCAGACATGCCGTGTCAAAGCCAACGATTTGCAACAGCTTGTCTTTGCATGTTTCATAGGCGAGGTCGTAAATTCGCTGGCAGGTGCACCTGGGATTCGGCATGTGGGGGGGTGGGGGGGGCTTTTGCATTCCAGGGCTGAGGATTCAGATGCGATGGCATTCAGAGCTGCATCTCTTAGGTTCCCGTGTCGTCCAGAAGGGTTCAGGATGACAGAAACTGTGGGGTTTCGGGTTAGGGTCTAGGGTCTACGTTTTAGGGTTTAGGGTTTAGGGTCTAGGATCTAGGGTTTAGGGTTTAGGGTTTAAGGTTTAGGGCGTCACACAGAAGTGTGGGTCCGGCTCTGTCTTGCTTCTCGGCTGGAGATGCGGGGCAATCTGGGCAGCAGTAGCCATGGCTGGAGAAAGCATGGAAATACAAATGGTGCTGAGGATTGATACGGGGATTATGATGCTGATGCTGCCGCTGATGACGATGATGGTGATGACGATGCTGATGATGATGATGACGATGATGATGATGATGAGGGCATGGGTGTGTCTATGATTAGAATACGACGATGCTGATGTTCAGGGCAGAAATGACATGGGTCTTCTTTATCAAACAACATGATGGTGATGGTGATGGTGATGACGAATACTGTTACTTCTATCATTATTTTGATGATGACGAAGCAAAAGAAAGGGCACGGGTGATGACGGCGACGATGACGATGATGCTCATGTTCGTGCAAACGTAAATGTTGATGCCGATGTTGATCATGGTGATGTTCATGTTCTTGAGATTGTAATGGTGCTCATGTTGTTGTTGTTGTTGATGATGATGATGATGATGCAAATGTCGATGAACATGTTCGCTATCACCCCCACTCCCCACCCCCAACCCCCTAAAAGTCCCCCACGTTTGTGCGGCAAACGTGGGGGGAGGCACCCAGCATTTAGGCTACGGCTTAAGGGCGGGATGAGGCCTCCCGGTTCGTGCTCTAAGAGAAACGTGCAGATCAAGCACCTTTGCCAAACTACGAGTTACTAGTGCTTCACGCTGCAGCTTGGCACACAGCACTGAAAGCATAGATTCATAAACATACATGTAAACGTGCAAGCACGTGCACACTTATAGAATACAGGTGGCTGCATGGGACGGCGTTCAATCAAAAGCGATCACACACGGCCATGGATAGCCGCAACGGGGCCTGAATCATGTCCGGCCATGTGTAGATGTCCGACGGAAGCCATCCACTGCCAGTGTCGTACATGAAGACCTGGGTGGTGCATATCTGCATTCAATGCTGCCAGCTGGCACCCACGTGGGATACGCATGGAATTCTAGCGTATGTTCCTATACGATTGCTCTTTCAGTTCGTCGTTGCGAGGCCGATCCTCGAAATTGGTCCGAAATAGGGTACAGTACGTAAGGAGAGAGGCTTTTACAATGATTCACAAGTCACCCCCCCCCCCATGTTTCCAATGACTAGTAATGCGATGATGGTGATGATGATGATGATGATGATGATGATGATACTTGCTATCGTCACTGCGCTGGTCAACACTGTGCATGAGTCTTAGTTATGTGCCTCCTTCGGCTCTTGTTGCCACTCTTCTGCTACTGTTCATACTACCGTTGATGATATAAATCCTGCAGTACCTTACAGACGCTAAACTATGGGGATCATGGTATATATTCCTTATTATGGATAACGCAGGATTCATACCATCAACCGTATCAGTGAAACGGCGCCTCTCCCTCTCGCTGACATGGGGAATAGCAAGATTCGCGTTTGTTGTTCAGACGGCCACATGTCGCTGGGACAGTGGCCCGGTTGATCACGACTAAGGGTAGTATGCTTTCAGTTGCTCCTTGTTGGTAGTTCGCACTGTTTCTGCTTATACTGCTTCGCTTCTGTTTAGAGGAATTCTCTCACTAAGACAGGGGCCTTAATAATTACTTATACTATTTTGAGGGCTCCTTTGTATACTTATAGCATAATGTGCCCCAAAACCCTCTTCTAATTATTAAGGCCCCTGGTTTTTCGGGGCTTTCCGATCGATGCTGCTCAGGCACACCGTCAGAGTTGGAGCTCTCTAGAGCTTGAATGGACCTATCCAATGTGGTGGAGGGCGTCGACAGGGTGGTGCCTGCCGCGGTGGTGGTCCTGAAAAAACGTGGGCGGGGGGGGCTCAAAGGCTCGGAGATTTCGGTAAGGAGATTTCCACTTGGGCAAGGATGAGGGGGCTTACAGGCTTGGAGATTGCTGTAACGTGCTGCATGCCCGAAGTAGCGTTCCCCCTTGGGGCAGGATGAAGCAGCATTCGATGTAGCATGAACTACTAACTGCAGCTCGATGAATACGTTATGAAACGGCCCGGCCAGGCCCTCTAGTAAGGTTGATCCGATGGTCCTGGCACTGGTTGTCGCCCTGATGGTGGTGCTGGTGGTGGTCGACATCGTGGCAGTAGTTGCGGCTGCCGTGGTGCTCCGCATAGTCGTCGTGGGCGCAGCCGTGGGCAGAATGGTGGCTCCCCCGCCGCACAGGCAGGGACCGCCCCCGCCGCAGGGCCACCTCACTGCTCAGGAGCAAGGCAACATAAAGCAGTTGAATAACAGACTTTAACAAACTTTAAGAACTACTTTTAATGAACTATTCAATATGCGACAATGGGCTACTACATAAAGCTATGAGATACTATACTGGATTTAGGGCTGAGGCTGCGGTGCCATAGTCAGTTTAGGGCGTAGTGCCTTTCAAATCCTTGTACTCTTCAGACTTATCTACTACGAGTCTCTCCGTCGCAGCGGCTTCTTAGTAGCATTCCAGAAACGAGTCGGAAGACAGTACCAAACGCAAAACCCAGGGTCTGGTCAGCGTCCAGATAGCTGCATGTTTCAGCACAGATAGCATCTGTAGCACCTGCCGGCTCACTAAGAACAAACAGTACGACTTCTGACCTCATGGACCCACGACTACGGCATGAAGATGCATACCTGGAGGGTCTGAGGACTTAGTAAGTAGGAAATACGTAGATCTAGTTTCTAGATGGGATATATTAGGGGTTAGGGTACTTATAACTCTTTAAAGAACAACTTACTAAGTTCCCCGACCCCCCAAGGATCCACGCACGTCGCATCCCCAGGAAAGCATCCCTCACCCCTAAACCCTAAACCCTAAAAATCCCGGAACCCATAAAAGGATGTTCTAAACCTGCCGGTCTAGCGGTTGCAATGTGAGCTCGCAGCCCACTTCCCAACCAAAAAGCCGAGAGAGGAGTACGCTTCCTTCACACTGCAACAACATAAGGCAGCTTGCGAATAAGCTGAAATATACTTCACTGTACAATCATACACTATAAACATACTTTAACCTACCATAATATGTAACAGCTTAGTATCCAAATGGTACGCTCATGTATGCTCTGTAGGCTATTTCATCTACCCATCTGGTGCGACCAGGCCGGGACCTCCCGCACCGTTCGTTGCCGAACAAGAGCGCACGCCAGGCTCCTCCCAGTTTTGGGTGTGGGGTTCAGGTTTAGGGTTTAGGGTTTAGGGTTTAGGGTTCATGGGTTTCAGAATTCGGTGTATTCTGACTTCGCAGCTGTACGCGTGCAACCCTAGAGCGGGTTTAGCTCAAAGTTCAAGTTTTCCATTCGTGGTGCTGCCTGAAAGCAGGATAACCTTGTTTCCGACAACTAGTAAGGTCATCCATCTCAGAACTTGTGTTACTTTGAAAACTCGAGTCTGCATTATTCAGAAACAAACTCGTGCTCTTTTGTTTTAAATTAAATTAAACTAATTAAAAGCAATGTGTGATGAGCTATCAATACATACACCCTTGACTCATGGGTGCTGCAAAAAAACATAGGCTTTTAAACAACCCCTAAACCTATAAAGCCCATGGTTTTTTAAAAAGGTCATGAACTGTGCCAGGTCAAAGCCCCGTGAAATCGGAAAGGCTCAATGTCAATATGGTTTTGTTGAGGGATCTTCATAACAAGAGAAAGGATCGTACTATTTGTTGGGGTATGTATATAAGAGTAAGTATAAATATAAATATGAATATATATATATATATATGGTCTTCTTGCAGGATCTTCATGGAAAAAGGATCGTACTATTTGCCGGGGCGTGTACAGGGGCCCTGCGCTGAAACTTGCACAACCTAGCAACCCCTGGATCCGGGGCCCCTAGACGAACAAAACGCGAGCTTTGAAATCATCGGCGTCAAGCTGCAACAAAATATATGATTAATCAAAACGACCCCAAGCCAAAACCCAAAGAAATCCAAATCTCTGACTCCACAGGACAGTAAAAACAAAAGATGACACACAAAGGACCTCCGTTCGACGCCAGCAGTTGAAGCCTTGACGTGCGAGGTTTCTGAAAGGGGCTTGTGGAGAAGTTTTCTTGATACCCTAAAGCCCAATGCTCCTAACCCCCCAAACCTAAAAGTGCAAGAAACAAAGTGATGGGCTGTGTCTTGAACTGCGGACTTATGCGAAGACTTCCGGGCACGGTGCTCGTTTGGCCCCATGCATGTTGTACTCGGATGCTTTAGGTGTCATCCCAGTTCGTTCGAAGTTCCCAAAGCCGAAGCCCCGAAACAGCAAGACAAAAGCCATGGCTGAAGCCAAAACTCAAGGTGGGGCTCGAACCCGGCGCTTTGAGGCGCTGCTTCTTCAGCTTCACCATTAACACCGTTATGACCGTTACCAGCTCAGCATGCCGAAACAAACAATAAGAGTAAGGTATGTGTATACTTGTATTTTGTAATATATATATATATATATGTATGTATGTATGTATGTATGTATGTATGTATGTATGTATGTATGTATGTATGCGTGTATGCGTATATGCGTGTATGCGTGTATGTATGTATGTATGTACGTATGTATGTATGTATGTATGCATGTATGTATGTATGTATGCAAATAGAAGTCTCGACAACAACAAGCACATGCAAACAACTAGTTGGAAGTTGATGAAAACTATTCTCAACATGTCGGAGTGGAATCGAGAGGCCACTCAGCGTGATGGATGCTTCGATGCCGGCAGCGCGCGTCCAAATTTCACAGCGGCCAGGGCTGTACTCCTTAGTTCATGGATGCAGATCTCAAGACTGTCTATTAATCGACCTCGACTATCTATCGAGCCGAGCCCAAAACCCAAGACTCTAGTTCGGGTCCTGCTCTGCAGCTGCGACGCTTTGGCTCCAAAGCAGGCAGTTTCGGGTCTAGGCTATAAGTCTACTTCCACTGTGCACACTGGGGGATTCAACCTTGCATCATCACATCCTCTTGACGGGGCCCTCGCTTGATCCTTGAGGTGCGCATCTTTTTCCAAATCGCTGACACACGCACATGCTATGCCCCTGCATCTGCTTTCCCGGACGTCAAGCACTTGAAAACGTGTCTTTAGCTCGTCAGTCAGATTGTGCGAGAGATTGTCAAGCTACGTAAAGCATGAACTTGACATCCCATCCCAGCCGGGCCATTTGGCAATCCCCGCGGCTTCGCCAGCCATTTGCCCAATCAGCTTTGAGCTATAGTGACAATATTTTGTATAACCTCAACTTCCATGATTAGTGAATTTTAACCTACATAGACCAATGTAAGCGTCCCGGAGCAAACTGACATTCCGATGCTGACAGTAGTCCGTATCACCTGACCAGGCTCTTCCACTCAACCTGGAAACGGGCCTGGAGCTGCTGCATTTGTTCAATCAGCTGCTGATCGGCCTGATTCTTCGCGTGAGACTCCTTCAGCTTCGTCTCGAGGGATTGAATGTAGGAGCTTTGCTCCTCGTCTTTCCGCCTGAAAGACTCATTCTCCGCTCGATGCCGGTTGAACTCCTCCTCCCGCTCCTTCAGCTGAGCCTTCAGGCGTTGGCTCTGCTTCTCCGCCTCCGAAGCCTTGTCCTCGGCGGCTCGACCTTTGTGCTCTTCTCAAATAGGGGGTGCCCCAAAATTTCTACTACTTGCACAAGTTATACTCCTGTCTCAAGCTTGGTGAATGTTACTCTTGAGACGTATCGAGCAAGAGCTTTCTAAGGACTGGACGGCTCTGGTCGCAAGCTTCCGTGCGCTGCCGCACGCGGCGCTCGAAATCGGCTTCGATGGCTCGTCGCTCAGCCTTGACCCGCTCCTCCACGACCTCTGAGGGTCTTGCGGTTCGTAGTGTCGTGGTAAACAAATCACACAGGTTCATGCTTTCTGCCTGCTGGATGTGCGAACCTCGCAACTACGACAAGCACGCTTAGAGCAGACTTGTAGCAACAACCCTATTTAAACTGGAGGAGCAACTACAACAACCACCACCGCGAAGGCGGCGATGGTAAAACAAGCATAAACAGAATAACGACAATATGGCAAACACCCTCTTAGAAATGCTGTGAACAGCTTCAACTTGGCACACCCAGTCCTCGGGCTTGAGCAGATCCGCAGCATCATCGGGCAGAGCGGGTTGGTTGGAAATGGCATAGTGCCTGTGGACTGTGGACTTCGACCACACATTAAATCACTAGAGGTTAAGAGTCAAGGGCAAGCCTTCAACGACTCACTATTTTAATCCCAGACATCGGCAATCTGCCGTGAGATTTGCTGCTATTTGGACTGTCGCCAACTGCTCTGGCAAAAACAGAAATACACATGAGTTCAAGTTATGGCTATTCGAGCATGTGCTGCGGGACTATACCGGACAACTCCCTGATTCCGTCCTGGCCTGGTCGCACTGAGAATCTCACCTAAAGCTTTCTTGACGAAGTCCGTCTCGCCCCAGCTGATGTGCTCATCCTTTGAAGAAATGATTTCCAGAAGATCTGCATCCAACAGCCCAACCTTCAGCTCATCCAAGAAGGACTGCACTTTGGGCAACTTCAACTCATTGGAGTTGACACTGCCCGTCAAGAAGTTGCGCAAATCACGAACCGCGCGGCATTTCTGCTTCTCCTCCTCGACCAGAGCGAGTTTGAGGACCTGTGTGCAATCTTCACAACCCCGCAGCTTCTCGAAAAAGCTTTTGCAGAAGATCTTCTCTTTAAACAGGATCTCTCGAGCGATCAAGTCCGGGTCCCAACTCTCGCTTCGCATGTGATGTAGCAAATAGTTGATCTGTGGGGCCATGTTCTTCAGGTCAGTCGCGATGCCAGCGGCTTCTGCAGGACAGGGAAACCAAGGCAAGCGGCCAGACTCTCCTGCCTCCTTCTCGAAGCATGCTTTGGCACGTGCCAGACATCGCTTGCAAGAGGGATTCACATGCGTCTCGTGGCAAGATCGCGCGGAGTACTCATCCTCTGAATCATCTGCATAGTATGTGACTCCGCATCCACGATTGTCGAAGCTGACTGCAGGCAGTACCAGGTTCACTGAAAGCATACGACGAGCTGCACGCTTGTCTTCCGACATCATCCCCTCCAGCTCCTGCAGCAAGTGTAAAGACAAGGCAACAGGTTGGACAGCTGTTTACTGCACACAGTCTTAGCACTCAGAAAGGCGAAAATCACCAACGACTCGTTGAACATAGACGCAACAGAGTCTAGTAAGCGATTGGTTGTTGCTTCAATCAGATTGTTGCTTCTATCAGATGCTTGCAAACTGTCAACCAAGCTCCTGAGCGATGGAGTGATGCATCGAGTGCAACGTGGTCATGTATCTGGAGAGAAGGTATGCATCGCAAGGGTCACCGTCAGGGTACCCGTGTCGTCCGCCTAACCGATCATGCATTACTCGCGCACGAAACTCAACCAAAGCTGGTGCGTGCTTAAGCAAGACGCCATCTTCACCGGAGTTTGCGAGATGCAGAGCAGCTTCAAGGGTTACGTCGTGTTCCTCCAGAACCTTTCGCAATCTCTGCTGGCGGCTTTTCCAGACCTTGGCACCTTCTGTCCAGTCCCGACAACGGTGCTCGTCAAGCTCCCTCGTGACATATATCTGTCCAGCTTCCGGTTGCCGCTCCAGGATATCTAATATTGGTTGCAAATGCGTCTGCTTCATTCCAGCCTTAGCCGCTCTGGAAAGCGCTGGCAGCACTCGCCCGAACCTGGCAAGCTTATCCATCAAGCCTTTGTATCGGACGGAGGTTGATTTAACAATGATCTTATTCTTTTCCATTTCCTCCATGCTCTGCCGGACAGGTAAGCAAGCTTCTTCCAATTTCACGCCCTGCTCGACTTTCGCAGCAACCTTCATCGCATCGTGGAGCAGCGACAGCATTGACACAGGATTCGAGGCAGAGTTCATGGCGGCCCGAGATGACAGAACAACAGTGTGCTGAAGTGTAGCTACTGGCAGCGAAAGACGGCGACTACGTAGAGCACTTTGTCGCATGCACCGTGCTCACCCCTGTTGTAGGCCTGTAAGGACAATTCGGGATTGCAAGACTTCGCTACAGCTTCGGCTATGGTTGATCTGAGACAACTTCACAGTGGCATCATGCTATCGGGATGTACATTCATCGGCAAGTCAAAGCCAGGCCCTGCGGCAGGAAGCACAGGGAAAATCTCTGCCCAACTAGAATATACCCTAAACTCTACATCCTAAAAACCTATACCCTAAACCCTACTTACGTGAACTAACCCTATAAACCAAT